CGCCAGTACTCTTTGGACCGCAAGAAGTTCTCCATTAGCATGCTCCAATGATCATAGTGACCATCAAAGCGAGGAATGACAGGTTGAACAAAATTTTCAGAAGCCATCGTTCACCTCAAACAAGTGGTGAAATAAAAAACAAGTGAAATAGAAAGAAAGATTTTTTTTTTTTTTTTTGGAACTCTCTACCTCACCGATTATGGGACTAACAAATTTTGGAACTCACAAAACTCACTGTCTCTCTTTTATGGCTCTGATACCACTGTCACAAATAAAAGAAGATGAAGTAGGGGACAATTCTGGTCTACATCCATTCATTAAACAAATGGCCTTTATATAGGCAAGTACATTAATTGATAAAAGCATGAAAATAGGCACTACACACCACTACACAACATGCAAAAACAAACTTTTATAGACTCGGTACATATAAACCAACTTGCTAACACAACTCCGCTATTAACAAATCCCTAAGGACTTGGACAACTTAGACAGAGTAAAAATTAAACGTGCAAACACTAAATTATTCAACACTGCATTCATATAATGTGTGCAAAGTTTGAAACAAATGGCTAACTGCAAAAAAAAAAAAAAAAAAAAAAAAAAAAAAAAAAAAAACCCTGTACTTTTGTTATAGTGCAGAAAATCCCGTGTGGCAAAAAAATCTCCTACACTTTTAATTTGATGCAAATACCCCTTTAGTTTTAAAATGAGTGTAATAACCTTATGTCAGTAGATAAAATAATAGTTAAAAATAGAGGCAATGTAAAATGATCATTTTATTCAATTACTAAAAAAAATAATATAAGGACCAAGTTTGAAAGAGTAAGCCGCTTAATTCACAATATATATATATATATATATATATATAATCGAATTGCAACTGTTTATGGGAGGGAGGGAGAAAGGGAGAGAGTGAAGAGGGCGTCCAGAAAAGGAAAAGGGAGGGGGTAATGTCAAAATGGCAAGAAAAAAAGGCAAAATTAAAATTTTAAATTTATTTTTCACCAAAAAGTGATCCGAAGGGAATTGTTTACACCTTCTTTTAAAAATTAGGATCAGACAATACTCACTTCTAAAAAAAGAGAGTTATTTTGCACAAAATCTATCGGGTTACTTAACACTTTATAGAAAAAGAAACCTTGGTTGGGTAGATCAGGTCTCAATTAATGTGTAAACCGCAACAACAAGGTCAGATTTTAATTGCACAAGTTGAGAAAAAATATGTTTTTGGTTTTTGCACAATCACGTGATGATTGATGCTAAGTTAATCTTCAAATGTCAGAGTGGGCTTGGAACAGTGTTAGTTCAATCCAGTCAACTAAAGATGGTTATGGGTGCCCCATGGGCCCAAATACGTTCACACTCGAAACTAAACAAATTTTCTTTTTTTATGGCAAGATACTCATCCGCCCATTTATATATACACGTATTTTTGTTCAAATTCTTAAAATGACTGTAATACTATTAGGCTAAATGTGGTTAGTGAAACCAAACATGAACCCACCCATTTATATACACGTTTTTTTGTTCAAATTCTTAAAATTACTGTAATACCATTAGGCTAAATGCAGTTGGTAAACCACACACGAATTCACCAAAATTACATATTTTTTGTTAGACGGTGTACCGGAAAAATATCTAAAATCATATATTAATCTTTTTTTGGGTATTTCTAGAGACCATTGGGAAGTAAAAAAAATTGCTTGCTTAATTTTTCATTTTGAAAACAATTTTAACTCAAAAAAAAAAAAAAATTTGTTTTTAGAAAATTATAAAAGACAGTAACATGTCTTTTCTTTAACTAAGTTTTCAGAATTTGTAGAGAAAGTAGCTTTTAAAACCGCCAGCTAAAGAAAATTTTGTGTAATTTTATCATATGATTTTTAGCTATCTGCTTGGTTTAATTTTCTAATAACAGTCTTTAAGAATCCAAAAAAAAAAAAACTGTTTCGAGAGAATTATGAAAGGTTTTTTTTTTTTTTTTTTTTTTTTTCAAGGCAAGAATAATATTCTTAGAGGGGTGCTAACCACCACAATCGCGGGCGCGACTGTGGAATCTCAGTCACTACTTCAACTGTGACTCGGGTATTTCCTTTCACGATAATTAATTACTATTTATTTGCTAACTTCTTTTTGGGTCTCTCATTATACATAATTACTATACTAGCCCTCTTATTCATATAAAGAACCGGAGAAACCATTTCCCGAAATTCTCTCTTCATAAACCATTTTTATTTTTATTTTATTTTTATTTTTTTTTAACAAAAGTCCATATGTAATGCTTCATTTGGATGGAGGGATTAGAGGGATTTGGAGAGAAAAGAAAGAAAAGGATAATGATGAGTGTGTTTGGATAGAGGGATTTAGAGAGAAAAGAAAGGATTTGGAGAGATTTGGAGGGATCCCTCATTTGGAATCCCTCCAAAATTGACAAGATTTGGAGGGATTTGGAAGGAAATGGAACAAATTACAAAAACAACCTTGAGAGAAGGGACAAGCTTGGTTGAGAGAAGGGTAAAATGGTGAATTATTATTATTATTATTATTATTATTATTTTTTTCATCCAAACAAGAATATTACCCATTCATTTCTTTTATCTCCTATCCATCCAAACATGAATATTATTATATCTATCATTTCTTTTCTTTTCATTTCTTTTCTCTTATAATCATTTCCTTTCTTTTTTCTCCTGTGTATCCAAACGAAGCCTAAATGTTTGAGGTTCAACTCTAAAATTTATTTTTTTACAAAAGTCCATATCTAAATGTTTGAAGTTTAAATCTGAATTTTTTCAGATCCCTATTCTTTGTATTCGAAGTATTGCTCTGATTTTTCAGATTAAAAAGTAAAAAATAAAAAAATCAGGTAAAAAAAGTATTATAATCTGGTTCTCCCTCTAAAATTTTCTTTTTTTGAAGTTCAATATTTGAAATTCAAATTTGATTCTTTCAGATTCCTATTATTTGTTTCGAAGTATTCAGTTGTTTTTTAGATAAAAAAAAAAAAATCGGATGAAAAAAAAGTATAATGTGTTTCTTGTATCCGTCCTTTTCTCTCTCTAAAAAAACTAGCTTTCAGTTTCGATTCTCTTCAGATCTGATTTTTTTCAGGTCCATAGTATCTGTATTCGAAGTATAACTCTGGTTTTTCAGATCCAAAAGAAAAAAAAGAATAAAATTTATCAGATGAAAATTCATGTATTGGTTATGGTCTCTCCAACCAAACTGTTTTGCATTGCCCTTCAGCAGTGCTTCGGTTAAGAACAATGATGCCATTATTGATTTTCGTTAAATGTTCCGACTAAAAGTTGATAATCACGACACCTTTTGGTTGTGAATTATTAACTTTTTCTTAATTTTTTTTTTTTTTTTTAAATGAGTTCATACTTCATACTGCAACAACATATTCTCTCTGTATAACATGGAAGATGATGCAGAAATATGGATGTTTTTCCTTTTTTGGGGAAAGGGTAGGAGGACAATAGGGTAATTACAGAAAATGAGAAACCTAATAAAAAACTGACATAAGAATTAATAATTCTTGGAAGAGAAGATACACGCTAGGTCGCTACAACTGAGATTCCACAGTTGCACCCACGACTATGATTAGGGAAAAATAATTATATGGTTCTAAACCATTAAAATTCGGTGGACCAGTTAAATAAAAACTTTCGAATTGAGAAAATAGCCCCACAAGAGTGTATTAATAAGTTATAAAATTTTATGATCGGAGGATTTTTATTAAATTAGTTCACTAAGTGTTAAATAAATTAAGACCATCTAATAATTTCTCGTGATTAGCACCCCTCATATTCTTACGTTGAAACCATCTTTTTCATTACATTTTCTCAACCAGATTTTTAAAATTTTCTGATTTTTAGTTTTAAGAAAATGTATCACAAATTTGAACCAAGCCAGCTCAGCCGTTGTTTTGCAAAAGTTATAAAATTTTGTTTAGTTAAAACTTAAAATGATACTTTTTTTTTTCTACTTAATCTTTCATTGTGATTAAGGTTGGAATCAAAGTACTCAATACTTTTATTTTATAAATTTGAATTTTTTAAAAATAAAAACTATTGCTAAAGAAGATTACTTCTTACCAACGGGTCACTGACTTATCTTACTTTTCAAAGGGAGCTTAAGGGTTCAAACCTCGTAAGAGACATGTGTGGGTGAGTACCACCTAGAAAAAAAAAAAAAATGAGATTACTTCTTTAACCATATTTTTTTCTTTTCTATATATATTTTTTATTTATCATAGCAAATTTTCATTATTATTTTGAATATTATCCTCTCTTTGGACAGGGAAAAAAAAAAAATAATAATAATAAATAATTATATATATATATATATATATTATCCTCAAAATAAATGCTGAAGAGTGAAGACTAATATCAGAAACAAACCCGCCCCTGATGCTCACTGTCTCGCTACCAACTGTAACCTCACCTCACCTCCATCAACGAGCATGAACAAATATGTCTCTCCCCCCAACAACTCCGTAACGAAGCTCAATCTCAGACCGTCACACTTTTGCCCGTTAAGTGGTCAATGGTAATCATCAATCAAATCGATCAAAGATACGCATACATTTGTTTATATATTTGCAAATGTGTATATAAAATAGATATTGATATTTGCTTGGTCAACGGTAGTCATCAATCAAATTGATCTCAAATAAGCAAGCATTTATCTATATATTTTTGCATTATTGCATATGTGTATATAAAATAGATATTGGTTTTTACTGATTTTATGTTTTGGTTGTTCGAATGCAATGTGTTTGATGATTTGACCTTTATGATTACAGTTGTGCAATTTCCTTTAATCTGAGCTAGTTTGATCACTAATGTTTGTCTTTGTTATAATTGGGTCACATCTCAACACCTGGCCATTTGTTAGTGGCCATTTGGGTTACTCCCCCTATCGTATTCAAACCTTACATCCTCATTCCTCCATCTTCCCTCTAATCAGTAACTCTTAACATTCTTTCCATTAAAAAAAAAAAAAAAATTAAAAATCTTTGATGCCCTGCCTGTGAGAGCATAAACTTTGATGCTTTGACAATATGTCCATCTACTAAAATATCTTCCCAGATATTATCCTGTCTTTTTACTTGTCAATTATATATATATATATATATATATATATATATATATATTCGTGGCAATATCATTTGAGGCATGTAACCTTTTATGCAGAAGTTCAAGCAGTAAGAAGAAAGATGAGGTCTTTCTTGATTTTTCTAGTGTGTTTTGAGGTTTTGGCAATTACCATATTCTCTGTGGCTCAGTTGTCACCAAATGATGCATACCCATCTGCTTACGGCGATGATTGCGGTCAAACTGGTGAGAATTTGAGTCCTTTGAGGAGGGAAGTTTATGACAGCGGAAGAATATTTGATATCACACATAGGTTTACTCCTGAAACGCCCTCCGGGGACTCTGAGGATGGGATCGGACAATTCCTTACCCTTTCTATGAGCATGAAGAACGGCTCGGATTATAACTTCTCTATTTTGAAGTTAGCTGTTCATGCTGGTACTCATGTTGATGCGCCCGGACATATGTATGATCACTACTTTGATGCTGGGTTTGATGTAGACTCTCTTGACCTGCGTGTCCTCAATGGTATGGGTTTCAACAATAGCGCTTCTTTTATTTTAGCAATTGTGTTTTTATCATGACTTGTTTAGTATTTGAATCTTTTGGAAGTAGCATGTTTGGCGATCTTATGGTAGTCTATTACTATGACTTTCTAGAAAAAATTTCAGGATATTTCATGTATATTCAATTACTATTCTTGCATAAATTTTATTGTAGAACTTGAATTAACTTGGCTTCATTTGGGGGAACTGAATAGTTTAGTACCTGTCCTTGCAGAAAGTCCATCATTTAGATTCATTTGTTGAAACAATTGACACTTAGCAAAAGCCTAGTAAAACAAATAGTAACTCCTATTTGTAGGCAGTTTAGTAGTATGAACTATGAAGAGCAACTCCTTTCTGTAAGCTTCAAGTGTTTTGGGGTAGGGAAAAATTGGAGAAAACTCGGAGTTTCTTTTTTTTTTTTTGATAAGTAAAAAAACTCGGAGTTTCTTTGAACCCATAAGAAATTTGAGAACCTTCGAAAAGTGCGGCGTTTCTTTCTTTGAAGCTAAAGATATTATGTTAAGCTCTTTGTTGTTTTTCTACGCATTCTTTTGTCTGTATTTTTCCCATTTCAATAAGAAATTTGTGTCCTTGTCTTTCTCTCAATCCGGGTTCATTTCTGTTTGTTTGTTTTGTTTCCTTTGGATTCCGCTCATCAAACTGAAGGTTTTCCCTTTATTTTCTATTTATGCCATCTAATTAAGTTATAGTTTCAGGCGTTTGTACTTATTTTATGTATCATTGATGACTATATTCATTTGTTTGAACAGGTCCTGCATTGTTAGTTGACGTTCCAAGGGATAAGAATATAACTGGTATTCATTTACGATAAACTCATTCATTTCTGTTTGGAAACATATTTTTCTTGCTTTCCTGGGTGTATGCACTTTGATTTGAACTGCACATATTATTGGTTGTCATAAATGTGCAAAATTAATGCGATGACTTGTAATAGAATAGAATGGAAAAAGAGAATTCATGTGGCCAACCCCATTCATATGGGATTAAGGCAAGGATGATGATGAAAGGTGCAAATATATAATGAAATTGCATAATAGTTTAGGTACTGTTTTTGAAAATTTCCACCATTTATTTAATGCTTTAATGATGTAGCATAAGGTTCTTAAAGAATGATAGGATTGTTCTAGGGCCATCATACTTGACATTCTTTTTGTTGTCCATATGAAACGATGTAGCATTACTTATCCAATAAAAGAAGAAGAAGAAGAAATGATGTAGCATTTTATGTTAAGAGTACTTATGGATGTGTAAGACTACCTGAAATACGATAATTACGTCTTACATTACTTAAAATAGAACTTTCATATAAATCTTCTACATTCACAGTCAATGTGGTATTTCTTTTGTTCAAGTTGCATTTCCAAACTGTTTCATCACACGGAAGATCAGGGGACCTGGGCCTACTGGATTAAACCCCCACCCTATTGACCTACAAAAATGTATTTTATTCTAATCCTTGAAAGGGCAGGATTTCCAAAGAGGCCGACTAAATCAATATCCTGCTAGCTGAACATGGAGCCCCAGCCCCCCCCCCCCCCCCCCCCCCCCCCCCACACACACACACACACACACACAATCAAAGAAATGTTTAACTGAGATACATGAGAAATGGTACTACATTCTTGTCATGAACGAGGACCATATTCTGATATTATTATGATAAAATTCCTCATTTTTTCCCTTAGTTCCTAGTTGATACTTGAAGATGCCTTACCATGTCCATTTAATCCTTTGGAGAGGAATGGATGGAATACAGAATTTCGTTAGAAGTGTTCAATAAATCTCTGGCATCTGATTTTAGAGTGCTAGATACAAGAAGCAATTGTCCAATTAAGGTAGTCTCATGAGATTTGCATTTGATTAGTAGATTTACAGTTGATCTTAAAATGTTATCTATTTATTTTGATTCTTTAACTGTGCTGTCTACTTAGGTAATGTATTTAGCAATTATGTGGTGTGGAGCTTGAAAATCTCGTTTAATGACTACATTGAGTCTGCTGCTACATGTATACATTTTCATATTGTGTCAATTTAATGCAAATCAAAATTGACCCAGCATCTTTCACATATATGTACAATTGAAAACAAAGGGCACTCTGACATTGAGTCTAGTAATCTTTGATTCTCTATAAGGTCTAATATCATTGCTATTTCTTCTTACAGCTGAAGTTATGAAATCCTTAAATATTCCAAGGGGAGTACGCCGTGTGTTATTCAGAACATTAAACACTGACAGGTAACAGTATAACAAATGTAAGTTGCAGAATAATCATATCTGTGGGACATACTTGATTTGTGAATTTTGAGTAATATCTGAGTTCAGGCCTCTAGTAGCTTTTATGAGTAGTACCGGTTCAGAGCAAAATTCACCAGAACTTATTATGATTGATAAGTCATCTCCAAGTCATTATTTCTGAAAGTGCAGGTCAATATGCTGCCCTTAGCTGATTCATTGATTCTTGTATTGGTATCCCTGTTCATGATATGCAAACTACTAAGCTTCTTATGGTTGCACCTGAGATAATCATTTAGGGATTTGTCAAAAAAAAATAAAATGATAATCATTTAGGGAGCGCCGTGGGTGGCAAGAAAGCTCATGTAACTTGTGGAAAAAGTGTCATGTGTAACATATTTTGTGAACAACAGTTGTGTCTTGGTATGTAGTGTTTCACCTCATTGGATGGTTTGTCAGAAGCTGTTATTGTAGGTTGAAGATTGAACTGAGATATAAAAGTTCACATTGACATCTTGCTTCAAACTCCATCAATCACACAAGTTAAGAAGGTCAGTGACCTGTGAGGCCATAGGATTTGGAGTGAGAGATAAATAAATAATTAAGTTGTTTTTTCAAGTCCCTTAGTGATTTTGGAAAACTGGTTTAGAATCAACCTGAAGAAATTCCCTTTGAACTAAAACTTGATTTTCAGGCAGCTAAAACTTGATTAATTTTCAGGCGGCTTATGTGGAGAAAGGAATTTGATTCAAGCTTTGTGGGATTCATGAAAGATGGGGCAAAATGGCTGGTGGAGAACACTGACATCAAACTTGTTGGTAAGATGAATGCTATTTTAATATTGGTTAGGAAACACATAGCAAGGACGAGATTTCTAAAATTGTCATGTTAGGTGTCCTAAATGTTTTGGATATAAATTTCTATGATTATGATCAAAATTAGCAATATAGTGTGTGTAATCTGTGGCTCAATCAATTGTAGTTGTAGATGCATTGCATTGTATGCAAAATGTGCCGTGTTATCACAAAGTTTTCCTTTGAGAAATAACTTCCTTTAGTCTTATGAAAGTAGTTGAAGTCAAATATCACATCAACCATTACCAATGGGCCATTAACCCAATGGTATAACCTCCATAACCTCAAAGAGGAGTGGAGGAGGAGTTCGAGCCCCGGCGTGGGCAATGTGTGTGTGAGTTCTGAGTAGTTACCTCATGAAAGAAAAATATCACATCTTCAACATGAACCATATTACTGCTACTAAACCCATGCTCTTCTTTGCAGAAACCTTGCCGTTACAGTGCGTTCAACATGAATCGCATCATTCATAACTGGTGCAGTTGTTGGTCTTTGCTGCATAGGTTCTATCATCTCAATGAAATTTCTCCCATCTTGTTTGAATTGGTGCTACCTCAATTTTGTGTGCATTCTATCACCTTTATTTCCATTCTCTCTTGTCTTCTCACTTGTCAGCATCCTGTTTCAGCAATGCCCGCCTTGCCATGTTATTTAGTTGCTCATAGCCCACCACCATGAAGCATAGCTTTCTTTTGTTTGTTATTGAAAAAATTGTCTTAGGATGATGCCTATGTATTTATCACATAGTAATTGAAGAAGTTACTCATCTCACCCATCCAACAACTCTCATCTAACCCGTCCACCTCTAGTGTCCCCTTAAACCTCTCGTTGTGAAAGAGTGCATCGTTTTAGCATAGTGCTTCTTCTTGTGTATTTCATATAGACACTAAAATTGTTTATATTTTTTCTTAGGAAGAGATGTTTCCATTTTACTCTAATTACTGTCTCTAGTGTCTTGCAGATATATCTATATATACACACACATATAGAACTTACCTCCTGTTCTTTTGCATTCAATAAACACCTTCAAGTATGACATATTAATTATTATTAACTTGTAAGTTGAACAAAAGCTTTTATTTGTTGGAAACCATGAAAAGAAAAGTTCGAAAAATTGTGAATCAAAGGCCTACTTGCTTTTGTTTGATTGCACATGTTCGTCATGTTGATTTCTCCTCCATCTTTAGCTACTAATGTTTTCACTTTTGTTTATTGTTCTCATTTTTGGGTTTGTGCAATTCTTCCGCTTAGAAATTGCCTAAACAGTCCACTGGTTACTCATTTGCAGTGCAAAACTCATTTTATGGCATATCCATCTCGTTTGTTAATATCCATGTTTATGCACTATTCTCTTGCACGATTAACTATTACACTAATGCAGCTGTCAATTCTTAATTGCAGGAATCGATTATTTGTCTGTTGCTGCCTTTGCAGATCTGATTCCTTCTCATCTTGTTTTTCTAGAAAGCAGGGTAAGAAAATATACGTCCAATTCTATTTCTCTTGGCAAAATTCTTTCTCGTTTTAGGTACATCTATTGGTTGTTTTTAATTTTCTGTATTGAGGGTAAATCCTATAATAACAAAACTTTATAAATTAAGTTATTTCCTAGCTCTGGATTGCACACTCCTATTACTTTGGCTTGCGGATCAGATGATGCTAGTGAGATATCTAGTATTCATGATGTTGTCAGGCAATTTTCCATGGCTGTGATTTTAGCTGATGATTTAATTCAGGCCATGGGAATGATGTCACATGAGATCTCATTGACCAAAAGAGAGAGAGAAAAAAAAGCAAAAAAAAAAAAAAAAGAAGTTTCTGTAACAGCCTTATCTGGATTAATTCTCTACAAACAAATTAAACTTTGTCCCTGTTGATTGGATATAGGAAATTTTGTTTTTTAAATACTGAAACTGTTGAAATTCTTTAGGAAATTATTCTTGTGGAAGGTCTGAAACTCGATGGTGTCCAGCCGGGAGTATACACTGTCCATTGCTTACCTCTAAGGTTGGTCGGTGCTGACGGCTCGCCTATAAGATGCATCCTCATCGATTGACACCATCCTTGTAAGCTCTTGTATTGTTAGTGACATAATGCCAACTATGGTATTTTAAATTTAACACCGAACCCAGATTTCATCTAATATTTATTATGTAATTCATGTTTTCTGTGTCCTATATTGTTTGAAGTAGAATGCACCATGCCGTCATCTTGCTTTAAGATTTTGTCATTTGTGAGTATGGCGGTGCCTATAAGTTGTTCATTTGCTCATTTTCGATTGTTTGTGCACAAGTTTTTGCAGGAAAAGTTGGCTTCACAGGAGGTTTTTGAGTGGAATAACGCGCGAGGCTCGGTTTCAGAATCGCCGTGGCTGTTTGGAGCAACGTGCAAGCTTTAGAGTAGATAAACTTCACCTTATATTGCATATTTAGTGCCCTATTTATCTATGCAAAGCTAGGTGTATTAGTAATTGGTAAGGTAAACACCTATTTCAAACTCTGTATAGGTTTTATGGGAAGAGCTTAGAGCTACGTAAAAATTTGTATAAGCAATAAATATATATATATATATATATATATATATATATATATATCATATTTGACATAATGTGACCTGAAAAAACTTTTTATGGAACCATTGTTGCCTTGTTGGTTTGCATGAAGGTGTTAACCTATGTCACACAATTTTGCACTTTATTCGGTGTGACTTAGATTTTGCCACTTTTGCGTTCCCGCTCTCATTTTATGTAAGGTAAGTGTTAACTCTTTTATGATGAAATATCTAAAATGAATATACGGAAAGAACGCAGTTTGAAAATTACATAGCCAAAATAATGGCAATTAGAATAAAAGTAGTTTTAGAGTGATGCATGAGTTTTATTTGGACCCTGTAGATATTATAGGGAGGGCACGAATTTATTGGGGACGAGATAAATTTTAAGGATATATGCTTGATTTCTATGCCTCAATCACAAAAAAGTTTTAGTTATATTTGAGAGTACTGCACCTTAGATTTGAAATTGAAATAAATTTAGTTTTAGAACCTTATAAAATCATTTCACCGCATAAATGGAGTGAATTGAAAGTGGACCTAATATCTAGATTAGAAAGCCACCAATTTTCTTGCAATTTCAAAGATTAGATACCATTCATCAATGAACTTGAACTACAAACCTTCAATTCAATTATGTACTAGTAAAAGATTAAGAGATGTAAAATGGGTGACTCCAACCATCACACTTCTATCACTTGTTTGGAGAGGCTAAAAAGGATTTTAGATTCAACAAAACTTTTTTAAAAAATCATTACATGACAAAGTATGATGGTTTAATTTCTAAAAAAGGATTCTAGATTCAACACTCTCCAAATAATAAGTCACATGAATAATTTTACATATTTTTTAGAGAAAAAAGAGGGAAACAAATCTAACTATATATGCGAAGGTTCAATCGTCCAAACAAATGATTATTCAAACACACTTCCAATAAGTTCAGGGTCCTAAGAAGAGGGTTTTGGAAAAGCAAATTTCAAAACGCTCTTCTAAAAATTTGCCAAACACCTATCACAATAGTTTCTTAATCCAAAAAGCCAAAAAGCTCCATTGAAAAATCAGTGCAAACAAGCCCTTAAGCTAAAACAGATTATTGGAGATGCAATATAATTAAATTGAAAATGCCACATATATGTACACAGTCTTCTCAATTATCGTGCAGTGTCACATTCTAAATTTAAATTGTTAAAAATAAAAAAGCAATTAAATTCAATTGCCTAAAAGATAGTGAAACACTGAAACGCACTGGAGAGTCTCAAAGCTTGTAGAGTGAGAAAAAGGGGGCTCGCTCCAAAATCCACTCTAAAACCCTCTAATTCCTAGAGCGAGAAAGAGGAGGCATTCTAGAGAGAGAGAGAGAGAGAAGGAGAAGAAGATGGAAGGAGCTTCGTACCAGCGATTTCCGAAAGTGAAGATCAGAGAACTGAAGGACGACTACGCCAAGTTCGAGCTCCGGGACACCGACGCCAGCATGGCCAACGCCCTCCGGCGAGTGATGATCGCCGAGGTCCCCACCATCGCCATCGACCTGGTCGAGATCGAGGTCAACTCCTCCGTCCTCAACGACGAGTTCCTCGCCCACCGCCTCGGCCTCATCCCGCTCACCAGCGAGCGGGCCATGGGCATGCGCTTCTCTCGTGACTGCGACGCCTGTGACGGCGACGGCCAGTGCGAGTTCTGCTCCGTCGAGTTCCATCTGAGGGCCAAGTGTATCAGTGATCAAACCCTAGATGTCACCAGCAAGGACCTCTACAGCTCTGACCACACTGTGGTCCCTGTCGACTTCTCCGATTCTTCCTCCTCAGGTCTCGACCCTGAGCAGAGGTCTCCCTCTCTATCTCTCTCTATACACACGAACACACAATGTATGCAAAAGTTAGTGACTTTGTGGAGTTGCATTTGTTTTCTTGAATTTAATTGCCTTCCTTTTGTTTGGGGTTGTACTGCAGCCCATTTAGGGTTTTGAATTTTACCCTCTCTGTGATATTTATTAGGTGATTTTTCTTTATTATATTTTATTTCAAATTCTTATTGCACGCATTTTTCAGTTAATTTTTGGGGATTTTCATGCACCATTTATTTGCTTGGCACAATTGGTAGATAAAAGAAAAAAGAAAGAAGAAAGAAAAACTGTGCTGTGTGAATTTTGAGGGAGCCTTAATGATTAATAAGTTAGTGATTTCATGTTTATCTATTTTAGCATTTGTGGATTTGTATTTTTTTATACTAATTTTCCTGATGAAATTGCCTTTCTTCTGTTTACTGCAGCCCATTAAGGGTTTTGAAATTGCCCTCTATGTGATATTTATATTAGATGGAATTTTTATTTTTGTTTCAAGTTTCTATTTCACCCATTTTTCAGTTAGTTTTAGGGATTTTCATGCACGATATTTGCCTGGCACAATCGATATATATATATATAACTGTGTTTCATGAATTTTGGGGAATTGTTAATGATTCATTTTGGTTGCTTGCTGAGAAGATGGAGGAATACAAAAGAAGAGGGAATATTTAGTCCTTATGTATGTTGTTTCATGGCTGATTTCAGCACAAATGGGAATTAATTTTACTTTGTATTTTGTAAATTCGACTCTCTTTTATTGCCTCCTTGGATATCCAGAGAGCAGGGGGTAAACAATGAGAAAACATTTTTGGCAGCCAAACAGGCCTATCTTTTTGTTTGTAATTGTATAGATTATCGGAAACAAGAAGGTAAAGAATATATTAAGTTGCTTTGGATTTTAATCTTTATCTTACGATTTATGGAAACTAGAAAGACTTAACTAAGTTAAACAGGTTCATTGGCTTTCAGATAATGAACAAGTAGGCTTGATCCCCCCCTCCCGCCCCCCCGCCCGCGGCCCAACTCAAGCAGAATAAAATTCTTTTCCTTTTGTGTGTTTAATTTGTTTTGTAACATTGCACTTTTAGAGGTGACATTTTGTGTTTTCTGTTGAGATTGCTATGGTACATTTCATTATATTTGGAATTTTTGATTCATCAACTGAATTAAAATTAAGAAATTTGAGAACATGAGATGTCTTACTTCATATCAGGGGGATCATAATTGTGAAGTTACGTCGTGGGCAAGAGTTGAGGCTGAGAGCCATTGCCAGAAAAGGAATTGGCAAAGACCATGCAAAATGGTCTCCTGCAGCGACTGTTACCTTCATGTATGAACCGGAAATTCATATCAACGAAGATTTAATGCAGTCTTTATCACTGGAAGAGAAAACGAATTTTGTTGAAAGTAGTCCTACCAAAGTGTTTGATATTGATCCTAATACCCAGCAGGTTGGTTGAATTGTACCTTTTCTATTTTTTTTTATGCCGTTGAACCTTAAAACTATCATGTGTTCTATTGCCTGTTAGGATTTGGAATTATGTTGAGTTCTGAAAATGTGGATTTTTTTTTACCTGAAATAGTATATCGTACCGTTATCCCCGGCCAACTTCTTGCAGTGATTTGGATTTATCTGTTGTTACTTGCAACCTTACTATGCTGTAATGGACCAACAAAAAATTATTTTATAATGCATTATTCTTCTACTATGGACATAAGAAGGTAGTTGATGCTAAAGTGATCGAGATAATTTTAGTTGAACTCTTCCCCATTTAGTATTTTGTGTTTCAAGAGGATTAGAGGAGGCAACCTCCTTATTTTACTTGGTCACTTAAAGATGGTGTAGCATCTGAGGTGGACATGACATAGGTACAGTCATGAATTTGTGTTGAACACGCTGGGTTGTCAAACATGTTTTCATTGCTACTTTCAAACAAATGGAACAGAGGAAAGAATTTGTAAAGGTCCTTGGGGTATTTTATTAATTACTCCCTCCATCCCACAAAAAATGTCCCTTTTTTGGGAATCAGCTTTTTAAGAGGATGGCTTTTGGTATTTTTTTATTGTATTGGTAGTGAATGAATTACCATATCTATCCATCGTAGGTCCACAGGTTAAATTGGTAATGTTACAAAAAATAGTACTTTGACCTTTCAATTGGGACATTTATTTTGGGACAGCCAAAAATAGAAAGGTGGACATTTTTTTTTTGGGACAGAGGGAGTATATTTCACATGCATATCTCAACATTATTCAAGTAATAAGATCATACTCCTCCGTCCCACAAAAAACGTCCATCTTTCCTTTTTTGGTTGTCCCAATTCAAAATCCAATGTAATATTTTTTTTAATATTCCTAATTTACCCTCCTTGTTATAAAAGCATGTGGTCCCACCATAAAAGGGTATATTTGAACATTCATTCTCTACCACTATAATAAAAATAAAATAAAAAATACACTCTTAAAAAGTTAAGTTACCAAAAGGGACACTTTTTATGGGATGGAGGTAGTATATGCTAAGTTACATAAACATTTTGTTTGGTCCAACGAAACAATTCAGTTTGCCATCAGTTTGAGCAATGAAGGTTAGATAGGATTGGTGCTCAGACACGCATCTTCACCATGTGGACTCAAGTCCCTTGTAACATAAGGAACTATTTTTGTATTGAGAAGTAAAGAAAAAATATCATGCAAAGGCGTCTAAAGGGGGTGTAACTCCTTTACATGAGATGCATAAAAAAGAATCATCCTTTAATATCTGAAGCTCATTGCTCCTAAAAAATCTACAAAGAGAATTGATAGACAAGCAAAAGTCTCGACAATCCAAAAGGAGGGGAAAAAGTGGTCTCAGTTAAAGAATATCCATTTCATATTTCCTTACATTATTTGGTGGAAGCTGTAAGGAATTTGTTGGGATTGAAAAAGGTTGATAGAAGATTCCAGGAAGCAACCATGAGACTTCCTTCAGTTGTTTCCATTTGTAGATAATAATATGCATTTTTCTGAAGCATCTTGACAAGTATGTTTTTTTATGTTAGGTGTCACTTTAAACTTCAAATTGTGTAGTGCTTGCACATGCATGGCTTGGGTATGTGTATAGGATAAGTGTTGGACAAGCTTAATGTCAAACACGCCACAGCTGTGTCCAATTGAATAGAGAAAAGCATTTCTGATCATTTTGGAGTTCTTTGCGTCATTCTCTTAGTCATGTGTTATTTGAATGTTTGAAATTCATACAAAATTTGTATCCAACATGCTACGCTGCATAGGCACGCACTTCTTTTTTGCTTATGACGAGAGTAATTGAAACACTGGAAAGAATTTAGCTAGCTCTAGTCGTTAGATTAGGGAATGAGATAAAATCTGAAGCTTAGACACACACACCATCTCTCACAAGTCACAATGGGCTTGTGTCATATAATGTAAGGGCTACTTTTCACTTCCTCAACATTTTTCGGATGGAGATCATGGAGGAGGGAAGAGGTCACTAGAAGTTTCAAGGGAAGCAAACTGGTCCGTCCTTTATTTTTTTCCCAATCTGCTGATTATATGATGGCATATTTTCAAAAACCTTTACAAATTTTTATGAATATCATTTTTTTTTTCAAGGTTTCCTGTCTTGGTATGAATATTCATAAATACTTATTAGTCTACAGGAAAAGTAGTGCAATATGAGATTAATGACAATTATTCTGGAATTTGGTACTCTTTCATAAGCTTCAAGTGACTCTCTATTTGTACAAATGGAGGCTGGCCAAGTGAAGATTGTTGTGGTATTCATTGATTGAATATTTGATAGGGGAAAAAGTAACTCAAAGCTTCAATGATTTGAAGAAAAAATTTCAGTCTGAATATTATAATATCACATTTAGGGAGGTGATAGATTCAACTGCTAAACCTGGCGCCACCATGTTTACCCATTGCTTTATAAGAGTCTTATGCTGCACAAGTCCACAAGCTTTAGATTTGCCTGTGAGTTGCAAACTCTGGATCGTGGATGTCGATAAAGAGACTTGCAGCTTATAATGGTTAAGGTGAACCTGATGTATATCTGATGTGATGCCAATCTCTATAGGGATTTTAGCAGTGTGTGTTTCAGCTTAAATTGTTAAATGATGTGTTTTTGCTATACTGGTAAAACATCCTGTGATTGGTATGTAATGAAATGCTCATGCTCAGAAAGCATAGGTGCTAACAGCGCAGAGATGAGACAAGTGAGACTGAGTACCAACAGGTCCAACATCTTTTGGTTATGATTTCAAACTCCATTCCTTAATTGAAAAGCAAACTTTTTAGTTTAGTTGTGAGGCTTTATTAAATTTTTGGGAATCCAATGGAGGATTCACTCTATTTTTTATTTTTGGTTGGAATTATTAATTTACGAATGGATTTTTTTTTTTTTTTTTTTTAAGAAAAAGTTTGCAAAAAATAAAAATCTTGATATTTGTAACTATGATCCCTTTTTGGGAAGATGACAGAAACAATGTCTGTAGCAAGTGTTTAAGTAATTTATAACTTGTTCACTTTAATCTTGCATTTATATGTTGTTTAATTTTATGTGATAGTTGTTCTAGCTTGCTTATGATTACCAAGAATTCCTGACATTTTCTGTACTTTTGAACGAAATCTATACATATGCGGGCTAACTTTTTCTATGTTTTGCTTTCAGGTGGTAGTGGTTGATCCTGAGGCATACACTTATGATGATGAAGTGATCAAGCAAGCAGCATCTATGGGGAAGCCGGGACTTGTGGAAATCTATGCCAAAGAAGACAGTTTTGTGTTCACAGTGGAATCCACTGGTGCAATTAAAGCTTCTCAGTTGGTCCTCAATGCAATAGAAGTTCTGAAGCAAAAGTTGGATGCAGTTCGCCTGTCAGAGGATACTGTAGAAGCTGATGAACAGTTTGGTGAATTGGGTGCACATATGCGAGGGGGATGATTATTTCTAAGACCACATTTCTCAGTTGATAAGTTTTTAGGTGATCAATTGGCTTCTGTTTGCTTCTTGGAACTCTGTCTTCAGCTAGTAGGCTGAACTCTATGCAGATCTCTGTTCACTCAAACTTGAATGCTAATCTCATTTTCTGTAAGTACTTGAGACAATTGACTATGTTTCCTTGATGGGCTCGTCATTTTGCACGTGTTATGTGCTTTAAATTAAACATATAAGAAAGCATTAACATGTAGGATAGCTTCATCCATGCATCCTCTAGGGTAGCTTCATCCATGCAGCCTCTATTGGAACTATGTTCTGTGTTATTGGATTCAATAGACTGTAATTGAAACTTTGTTATTCTGCAGCTATTGGATTTATAGTACCCTACTTTTCTGGTAAGTGGATTTAATAGTACTCTCGAGTTTACTCATGTTGATTAGCGTTTTACAAATCTGTAAGAGTGAGTGGTGAACTGGTGATGGACTCCCACTTGGTTCCTATATGCAAATTCAACTTCATTGTTCTAGTGAGTGTATGCACTTCTCCATGAAGTCTTTGTTTGTAGTTCTTCTCTTGATTTAGTTCCTTGAATAGCATCTTGCTGTTGCCTTTGTTGTCATAGCTATTAATTTGGGCGACATGGAGGCAAATTCATTATTATATTATCTTTGACAGAAATCAACTTCATTTGCATCTAGGCAGATTGCGGTTTGGCTATAATCCAATTTTAAACCTCTCCGTGGGAAAGGAAGAAAATTTTGTACTGCTCTTTTTCCTCAATAAATTCTGATGACGGTATAATCTTTTTCCTTTTTATCCTTGAAGTGGTATGGAAAGTTTCATAGGATATTGGTTTCCTCTTAGTTGCGGAAATATATTGAATCACTAGATTTGAACAAGTCTTTTATGGGAATTATAGTATGTTACCTAAGTAGATTTTTAGAACTGGATGGTGGTCCTCTTGTCTGAATTATAATTTGGTAGTCTGATCATAGTTACACCTATCAATGAGAGAGGATGAAAATTAAGTACCAATGAGAGAGTGGCCAAGATATCACAAGTATGGATATAGAAAATTTTGTTTTTAATATTATTTGTTAGTTCGTTCATCGTGTTCTTTTTTAGTGTCAAACAAACTTTAGTGTTTTCTTACATCTCACACGAAGAAGACTAGATAATGGCCTTTTATATGTTGTGATTGTATAAACTTTAGGTTTATATTTATCCTTGATTTTTTCCATTTCTTGTTTCTGGATGTCTTCTTGATGCCTTTGATTTTTAGTTGCCCCCGCCCCCTCTCCTTTTTCGTTACTTTTTAATATTTGTTACTCATCCTTTGGTCCTTGTCTCTGGATGTCTTCCTGATGCCTGATGTTTTTGGCTATTCGAGCCCTCATATTTGGCTAGCCTACTTGATGCATGGCTGTAAAATTATTGCGCCTTGTATTGAAAATTGGTGTGCTTAACAGGCATGTCCAGGACTCGAGGATTATGTTTACAATGCATATACTCAAAATCTGGAGGATGTTTGGGAAGAACTATAGGGTTGTTAAGAAGTTGAAGGGGACGGAATTTAGTAAATGGAAAAGGTACTTCAAGGTGGATGAAGGGTCTTCATCTCCTTTTTTTTTTTTTCCTTCTTTTGTTTCTTTATTTATTTGTTGTTTTTGTTTTTGATTGAGAATGATGAGAAAAGGTGGTTATGTTGTTTTAGCATATATTCTACGTCTTAAAAGGAAGGTTTACCCTCTTTGAGGTGCAAAAGTGTAAACAAGGAATATACTTTCCCTTTCTTTTGAAAAAAATGGAATATGATGGTTTCACAGGAAAACCCCTTCCTCTTCCTTTCCTTTTTTGTGTTGTTCTGTCCAGTGTGTGAACTTGATCACTATCAGGGGTAACTTTCACTATAACTATGGTGTGAAGGTGAGGACTTGTATGTAAATGGTAACAAAATTCAATCCTCTCCCACTTTACACCAATATAGTAATAAAAGTTACCATTGATGGTGATGAACTAGAGAGGATTTTAATAAGAGGAGGAGAGTCATAGCATTAGGGTGAATGATTGGTTAAAATTGCCCTATTTCCATCCCTTCCATAGTCATCATCTACTCTGGATCCCACATTTGAATGGTTGAGTATCATCTTCACTTCACAATGGATTGAACCACCCTATTGAGTAGACAAATCCTACATCCATTATTTGTAGAAATGAATGTGGGGCAACTATCCCCTTCCTAGCCACTTCACATGCCCAAGCTCACTCTAGAACCTCCTAAAATTTGGTCCAACTCATCCCATTGCTATTTCAAATGGAGTAAAGATACTTAGGCCTATGTTTTTGAGCCGAATTGTTACCATTAGATGTCCTAAAATGGGTCCTACACCTACTTTAATGCAGGAAGGTTATGAATGATTCAGTCACATGACTAACTATTCACTTTGAAAATAATTTTCCTTTCGAATGCTGTCCGTGGCTCCACTAAAATTCTGCAGGCAATTGAAAACCTTTGACCCACTAAATACTTGCAGGCAGTCAATCATCTTGACTGATCAGTATTAGTTGGTCATCTTGTTGTGTTCTAAAGTCTTTTGTTTTTTTCATAATTATGGTTGTATAAAAATAAAAAATAAAAATAAAAAAAGTCATCTTGGATTATGTGATGTTGTTTCCCAAGTGTGGTCGATCATCTTGACTGATCAGTATTAGTTGGTCATGTTGTTGTGTTCTGAAGTCTTTTGGATTATGTGATGTTGGTTCCAAGTGTATCCCAGAAATTATATAAACAATTTTGAAAAAAGTGAATCTATCTTGGAAGCCACTCACTTTCAAATTTTAGTCTGATCATCTCCAATGCCCTCTCAAAGGGCTCTCAAAGTCAAAATATAATAAGTAGATAAAAATAATATCCAATAGGTTCGTAAAAAATCTTTCATATTTTGAGATTGTTAAAAATATTGCCATATATAGCAACTCTCAAAAATTTGTGAGAGGTCTCTTTTTTCTCATACGGTGCCGTTTCTCAAAATATAGTAGGTGGATGAAAATAATATACTCCAGATAATATTTTGGATGAAATGTACCATTGAAACAAAATTATTAAAATATTGTATTTTCACACTGTAACTCCTCTCAAAATATATTTTTAACATAAAAAAATAATATTTTATATTGGAGATACTTTTAGTATCAATCAATGGCTATTGTACATAATGTAAAACAATTCTAAAGCCAACAATAGGTCCCCCCCTCTTCTTTGTCCTTTCCATTCCTGGATGATCTATCCTGAAATGGCCTCTGGATATAACCAAACATATCCTCTAAAAATTTGTTTGGAATTTTAGACTTTCTTGAAAGTGGTCACAATGGAGGGTGGCCATTATAGGCTGTCAAAAGATACCCAAATCTTTGTCTGAGAAGCAGAAGTGGTAGCACAGAGTTGGGACATTGGCTGACAACTGAAAACATCTAATACTCCTATTGTCCTTTTTTCTTCTGACCATCTAAAAGGTACTCTCTTGAGGCCTCTCTAAAAGCAAACCTGCAAAGGCTAAACAGTCCCTCTATGTTACTACTAACTGAACAAGGGATAGGGTAGAAAGACCCATCTACCCTTTCAATTTGCTAACCTTGGGAGTTTGGACCACCTAATCTAGCACTGGCCTTACCAGTGTAACAAGTTCCTGTTCCTGTTCCATCAAGTTAGTAATATAACTTACAAAAAAATTAGAATGTTGGCTAAAAATTCCGACTTTTTCATAGGGTGCGTTATTAACTGGACGGAACGGATGACCATTCCACTGGAGAGGATCAGGGTCCCTTTACTGTTTGCTTTCCTTCTCCTTTAATTTTGCCTTTCTCAAATGTGAAATCATATGGTTGGTTAGGCATTTTAAAGCATAATAGTGGGTATTAATTATGTTTCATTTGTAAACTATAGATTGGTTGAGCTTGCTCATTAGCTCAAGTGAAGTTCACTAAACATAAGGCCAGTGGTAAGTGTAAACCTTTTGATCTTACACGTGTTTTAATTTTAACTATTTAGGTGACAATAAAATTTGATCTCGAGACTCTACCTGATATGGTACCATACTAACTAGTGCAGGTTAGCTTAATGCACAGGGTGAGACAGGGTATTAATTATGTTTCATTTGTAAACTATAGATTGGTTGAGCTTGCTCATTAGCTCAAGTGAAGTTCAATAAACATAAGGCCAGTGGTAAGTGTAAACCTTTTGATCTTACACGTGTTTTAATTTTAACTATTTAGGTGACAATAAAATTTGATCTCAAGATTCTACCTGATGTGGTACCATGCTAACTAGTGCAGGTTAGCTTAATGCACGGGGTGAGACATGGTGGTGGTCAAAATACATGCTTGAATTATGAGTTACAACTTCATGATTCGTCCAAAAGATGGACCACACACCCTAGTACCTTATCTTTTGAATCACTTCATTTAAGATACTTATAAATTCACAACATATTTAATTTCTTATCAACTTGGAACTGTACAAATTTAATATGTGTTTATTAATGTGACAGTTTCAAAATTTTTGGCATTACATGATCAATGAGATCCCCAAACATACTTTGGATAACATTTACTATGTCATTGTGTGGTGCAAATCAGCAATAACTGTGTAGCAAACAAGATGGAGGAGTTAGGGCACAATTATTTTGAGTCACGCAGAGGGTGTGCAATGCAGGCATTTTGATATAGATATGGGCTCATTTGGGGTCTCCATTCTGATCCTTGAGTGCCAGTCTCAGAGTTGATGTTAACCCAGCGGTCAGGAGTTCCAGTCCATCATTTGGGACCATATGGTTCTCGTGTGGTCCAGTGTCATAGATGTCAACATGGCTGTCTAGTTCTAGGTAGGGTGTCCCTTCACTGGTAGCAAATTTTGGTTGGTATGTATGTGTATTATTATCTCGATCCGGATCTCAGATGTCCTGAGACTCGAATCCTAGTATAGTAGGACATGTTCCGTTCAATTTGGGATACACTTTACAAAAAGATTGAGATATTCTAACATTTTCGTAAAGTACATTCCAAACTAAATGAAACAAGATGTGCTGTTTATAGGAGGGGATTTTCTTCCCACGTTGATATGTCCATCCCGCGCATCATTAGAGTAGGACTAGTTTCTTTCAGTTTGGGATAAAACTTACATGTATTGCACTGTCACTTTAATAATGAAAGGATGGGCACAACAACATGGGAAGAAAATTTCCTATTATAAACAGTACATTCTGTTCCGTCCAGCTTAAGATATATTTTACAAAAAGGTTGGGATATGCTGTTTATAGGAGGGGATTTTCTTCCCATGTTGATATGTCCATCCCGCGCATCATTAGAGTAGGGCTAGTTTCTTTCAGTTTGGGATACAACTT